TCCAGGAAAACCTGCGCAAGCTGGAGGTGGCGGGAGTCTCCTGCAGAGAAGTCTACGTGAAACGTGAGTGCGAACACACCACACACGCCGCCGTTCAGGCGCGCACCGCAGGCCCGCGGCTTCACGTCGAAGCTAAAGCGGACCTGTCGCGTGCTGCTATTTTGTGGGTTCAGCTGTAATCGCAGCACAGTCGGTCTTCCGGGGGTGGGGGGGCCTGTGACGCCGCGCCGGCGGGAGGTCTCGGTTCCCAGGGATACCGACTGATAGGGATACCCTCTGCTCCCACAAAAAATGGCCGCTGCTCATACATCCTGCAGGTGGGGGCGGGGCCCAGCGGAGTAACGCGCTCCTGTGTCTGTTCAGGTATAAACCCGCGGGTGAAGTCGGGTCGCTTTATGAAACTCCTTCCAGACTATGAGAACATGGAGCACAGGGATGTGTACGCCCATCGTACGTATCCACGTGTGTGTGCGTGCGTATGTGTGTGTGTGGGGGGGAGGGGCTGATAGTGGCTGCATGGAGAAATGGCGCATCTATTACCCTGCTGGTGACTGTGTACACACGCCGAGCTCTTGTGATCTCATTAACAGAAATTTCCGGTCGCCGGCGGCGCCCATAATGGCGTCACAATCAGCCGTCGCTTACCAATGTTCCAATCACACGGCGCTGAACATGTGACCACATATGATGTCCGCCTCTCATCTCACGTCACGGCTAAGCATGGGCAGAGACTTGGGTTTGGTTCGCTTAGACAAGGGGGGCGGAGGCAACCCCAGCGGTTGTGGAACTACAAGTCCCATGAGGCGTTGCAAGACTCTGACAGCCACAGACATGACTCCCAGAGGCATGATGGGATGGGTAGTTTCAGCACAGCTGGGGTGCCCAGGTTCCCTACCCCTTGCTTAGACGTTCCCTGAGCCCCAATTTCCGGCTGGGTTGGGTGAATGTCAAACACTGTGACAGTTCACTCATCTGCATAGGTGTCAATCTTCCGAGTACCCGCGAGCCCCGCCCACTATAATTCTGCTGTGAGGATCTATTAGACGAGACACATGCCATAGACTCCTCCCTCCCAGTATTGCTATCTGCAGCCTTGAAGCTGCCCCTGTCCAATGTGCGGTACATCCTCTGTTCTGTCCGGCAGCATGAAAGGTCTTTACCTTCATTCCTCCCACCTGTGTCAGAAGCCTCCTGATAGAAGCAGAGTAAAGGTGCGGAGGTACTTTGCGGCCAATGAGACGGGCAGCGGCGGCTTCCAGAGAGGCTTCTGATACCAACAATATCATTATTTCCCTGCTCCTCGGCGCCACCTAGTGGCCATAAAGCAGTAGTGCATTCCAAGCATTTATCTCCTATGCTCACCAGCTCCATCTAGTGGTCATAAAGCAGTAGTGCATTTCAAGTATTTATCTCCTGTGCTCACCAGCACCATCTAGTGGCCATAAAGCAGTAGTGCATTTCAAGTATTTATCTCCTGTGCTCACCAGCACCATCTAGTGGCCATAAAGCAGTAGTGCATTTCAAGTATTTATCTCCTGTGCTCACCAGCACCATCTAGTGGCCATAAAGCAGTAGTGCATTTCAAGTATTTATCTCCTGTGCTCACCAGCACCATCTAGTGGCCATAAAGCAGTAGTGCATTTCAAGTATTTATCTCCTGTGCTCACCAGCACCATCTAGTGGCCATAAAGCAGTAGTGCATTTCAAGTATTTATCTCCTGTGCTCACCAGCACCATCTAGTGGCCATAAAGCAGTAGTGCATTTCAAGTATTTATCTCCTGTGCTCACCAGCACCATCTAGTGGTCATAAAGCAGTAGTACATTACAAGTATTTATCGTGTATGCTCACCAGCACCATATAGTGGCCATAAAGCAGTAGTACAATACAAGTATTTATCTCCTGTGCTCACCAGCACCATCTAGTGGTCATAAGGCAGTAGTACATTACAAGTATTTATCTCATATGCTCACCAGCACCATCTAGTGGTCATAAGGCAGTAGTACATTACAAGTATTTATCTCATATGCTCACCAGCACCATCTAGTGGTCATAAGGCAGTAGTACATTACAAGTATTTATCTTATATGCTCACCAGCACCATCTAGTGGTCATATTGAGGCATTGCATCACACTTAACCTGAAAGGAAAATATACTAAGAACATTCACACAGAACCAACATTCACAGGGTGAATGGCTCTGTGAATTGTGTGATACATATATATATATATAATGAGAATTCAGGGAGAGGGGGAGCTGCCACTGTGAGCCCCCCTTCCCCCTCCCCTTTAGGCTCTATTGCATGTTCAGCGTCATCCGTGATCGATCCGTGTACACACCACTAATGCTTATTGATACCTGCCACAAGCTTCATTCTCCCTCAGCGCTGTTCAGCTCGGCCCTCCCGCCTTTCCTTTATATTCATAATGAACACATTCTAACCAATAAGGTTAACAGAAAATCGATTGGCTCTACTTTCAAATAAAATCCTGTAGGTGCTCGATCAATGTTGGCTTGTCTCCTAGTCCAAAGCCGAGGTCTCAGGTGCACTCAGTGGGGTGGGTACAGTGCAGGTCCGGTCATGTGACCCGATCTGGGCTTCTCATGGGCTAGTGCCGGTGTTCTATCGAGATGTCCAACTTGTTGAGCTCTCCCAACTCCAGTCATTGCACCTAAGCGCGGTATCACGTTCTCTAATTTGCGTTAGTGCGCCCGCGCGGGCATCCGATGGCATAATCGTAGAGAGGCAAGTTGGAGAACTCAATGAGGATTGCGAGGCCGCACAGGCGCACTCAGGGCAATTGTGGCAAGTCGACGAGGCTCGGAAAAATGCCAGGGCTGGCGCACACGCTCACTGACGGCATCTCGTTGAAAATCTACAACGGACGTGACGTTACGAGTTGGAGATCTCGATGGGTTGGCCATTTCGACAGAACACCGGGAAAGGGGGACGGTTGGGGGCGGTAATGTCTGATGAGCCTCGCCACAGGTTAGGCTTCTTCATAATGGAGATCAGCCGTCTGTGATTTCAGCACCTGAGACCTCGGCTCCTGTTTATTTCTCAGTGTCGTCCTTTTTGTTATCTGGCAAATTAAAGTGTCTGTGAACCCCAACAATGAGCTTCTCTTATTTTGCCCCTTTTGGTCAGTTCATATACCTCTGATCCTGCCAGAAATCTTGTGAGCTGATAACTTCCTGTGCCCTCATGTCTGTGCTGAACTCTTATCAGTTACATTGTTTCCTTGTGGAATGCAGAACACCTCCTCCCTATATTATGGAGACAAAGGGGGGTTATGTAGTCCTGTTCTAGGGTGACAACGCTGCTCCTAGATACAGTATAGCGAGTGCACGTTGTCACCCTAGAACAGGAAGTATGTTACTGGCAGCATCGTCCGGTGATAATAAAGGATAAAGCCTGAAAACAAATGGAGCCGCCACATCTGAGGACAGGAAGCTGCAAAAAAAAAAAAAAAAATTAGTTTTTGGGTTTAGATACACTTTAATTTCCGGGGACTTTCCTTTCCTATTCTGCAGTGTGTGTGTGTGGCCCCCGGAGTGGGCGGAGTTAGACAGTTGGGGGCGTATCTATCTCGGCCCGACTGTCACATTGCGTTGTGGAAACGTTCGGCCATGTCACCATTGTTCATCTTTATGTTTCTGATTCAGTGCTCCACCAGTATCGTGACATCTTAGGCCTGTGGCAGCCTGACCTCGGCCCG